GATACAGTCATGTACGTCTGGTTTACAACAAACGAGTTCTTCCTCGTATCGATAATGGAGTCAGAGAGGACATGTCGAAACGAAAGTGTTGTAAATGTTGACGAGCTGCATGGGTCCCAATTCGTTTTGTGACCAAAATAGTTTCTTTGAGCTGCGATGCAATTTACTCACCGTGTGACGAAAACGACATCGACACGGACTCATTCCCAAGGCCATGACTTGGCAAAGCTATCCGTGTGACTTCGACGACATTTTGAGAAAAGCAGACGCTTGTGAAAGCTGATAGAAGACGGCGTTGACTGCTAAATTCAAATAAATTGGCGATCTTGAAATACTAAAATAAATCTCAAAAAGCTACAGCGCGATGACTTCCATTATAATTCACTCACACCATTGCAATGTTGTGGGTGTGTTCACATGGCGTGAGCCAGTCAAGTGTCAGTCAGTTCGGCAGGAAGCGCGAGCTCCAACAAGTCGTTTGGTGCAGCCATCTTCTTTGTCTTGTACCAGCTTGATCACCAAAACAATGAAAACAAGTTTGACTTGAGGATAGGTTGTCGCACGAACTTTGTGTTCTACAGTACATTGTGCAGAAAATAATATGGCACCCATTTTGATATTCCAGGGGATGGCCCACGCCTGGTAAAGAGAATAAATAGAGAAAAGAAAAGACGGATATTTCACAGGAAGTACATGTACAATGGGGACACGGTGCAAGTAGTTAGTTCTCACAACGCAAGCCACACTGCGCAACAGCCAACGCTCCTGACCGGTTCTGATCAACGGCAGAGGAAGAGGCTGGACGTCGATGACCACGAATGGCAGCGGCAGCTGCTCGGACGAGGGCAAAGCCCAACCTCACGCGAAGAAAGGCAATCACCGACGAGAAAGACTCTCCTGTCTTCTCCGATACCATGGACGCAACCCTGTGGTAGAGAGCCTTCGCTGCTTTGCCTTGCCCGCCAGTGCAACTGAGGACGATGGGGACAAATGACGCATGCTCGATGTGCAAAACTCGTGTTTCGTAGCAGCGACGCTTCTCCTTCTCGTGTCTGGCATAGACGGACACCAGGGAGGCGGGGTTTCGGTTTGAACGAGCATAAGGGTTAAACACCCGAACATCGAAGAATGTTCGCTCAAACCTACCTCCCCAGACTCCACTGGCAGCCACGTCCAACCGTGCACCTCCTCCAGTGCAGGGCCTGCTCTAGACATTCAACACAGCCCGGTCAGGGTGTACCTGGCGCATGCAGGCCTGCCAGGTCAAGCCGGGTCAGATCATCCGGCAGAAAAACAACCAAAGAGCCTGCTCAAAACGCAGGAAAAGAGAAAGGCGAATTTATTACCGGAAATCGTTTAGAGAACAAGGCGAACTATCAAAGTCTGCAAATGTAGAAGGTAAACGACATTACGTGAAGAATGCAAAGCAGTTCCATTGGATTCTGGTTTAACAATTTGAAAAAAGGAATTCTGTTTTCTAATTAGTGCTAGTAGTAGGACGAACATGTTCACATAATAGAGCACTGGGGGGGGGGGGGCATGCTCGTAGTCCAGCCAGGGTCGACCTTTCTTCCAAAAGTCTTGGAAAGCGTGAGTTCTTTTTCTCTTCGCTGCGAGCTCCATCGTCCAAATCACCAGTCGGATGAAAACTTGCAACTGTGTCAAAAGCTATAGCCAAAGTAATTAGTTACACTTTTGACTGCCTGCCCCATCGACTTTGAATGTCCCGACTTCCTGCTCGCCGCTGGCCAGATCGCGCTGGAACTAGTTGACCCCAGTTGACCCTAGCCGAGTCTGTCGCTTGTAGATTGTAGTGTGTATGGTTGCGCTAGATTTGCAACAGATGGGGTCCGCGAGTCGTAAAATACCGGTATTTTAGGAATCCATTGTCAGTCTGAGACATTTTTTTTAAGCCGGGTGAGACTGAACCCGGTGTTATCTGTTCAGCCAGGTCGTGCAGTTCCCCTGCCGGGCGCGTGACCCGGCTCTCTAGCAGGCCCTGCAAAGATGGCTGTACGGTGTGCAAAGCGGTCGCTCGTCACGGGCTGGAGATCGGGCTCTACCACAACATCATGGGCGACGTCCCGGAGCATGTGGGTGGTGATGTCCCTCACCTCGTTGTGCCTCAAGGATGGGAATCCACCAAGAGGGCACGATAGTGCATGCTCAACCGTGAACGATTGGCCACAGGAACAATGAGTGGGCAGACGCTCCGGGCACCATACAATGCGCAGGCAGAGCCCATCCCGGAAGGTGGTCTTGTGCAGGCGAAGGCCATGGCGTTTCAGAGGCCGGCAGGTGAGCCAACTCGATGCTCCACTCTCCGAGGCCAAGTCGAGGACTCGTTTTGACTCGGAGTCAAGATGTTGGCGGACGTTTGCTGCGGTGTCAGTTTCCAACTGGCGGGTTTCAGTCCTTGCTGCTGCCTTGGCTCTCCTGGTTGCTTCCTCTACACCATCGATGCTCCCGTCTTGAGCCATGATCCTCTGCACCAGACACTCTGTGATCCTGATGGACTGTGCATGTTGTCGACAGAGTAGGATAGGGTCGATCAGCCCCATGCCGCCAAGACGGCATGGAAGAGCAAGGATAGCACGCTCGGACGCTCCCGGTGGGTTCCTGCCAGTTAGGGCTGGAATGAGAAGCTGCCGAATGACATCTTCGAGCGGCTGGTATGCGTCGGCAGGGAGATCCATCGTACGTGCCAGGAAACTCCATCGATGCCTGAGGCCGAAGGTGAATGCAGCATAAGCTGCCTGGGGCTGAGACGTGGCGTACTCAGCCAGGGTGCGGAGCTGCTGGCACCAGTTGTCCACCTTTCCATGGACATAACCCTGGCAGAAATCGGCATTGCCAAGGGCTGCGCCGAGATGCCGGACGCCAGCTGTCCAGATTTCAATACTCGTGTCGCGGAAACGCCGCTTAGCCTCGTCAAGAAATTGTGGCTTGACCAAGAGCACCGACTTTGCTGCGTTGGTGAAGTAACCGTATCGTGGGCCTTTCTCCTCTAGGACCTCCCACCACTCCTTCACCCGAGTGAGTTTCCCACCAGCGGACGAGTCATCAGCATACCAGGATTGTGTGGCTGTACTCACGGATGCGGCATTGATCAATGGACAGTGCCGATGGCATACATATGCATTGCTAGCGGATCGCCTTGCGTTGTTCCCTCCTGGGACAGCATGACGTCTCCACCCACGAACAACTGCGCTGGTATGCCGTACGTATTGATGACGGCAGGCGCCAGCTCTGGACATATGTGCTGCACATTCTGCATGCACACGGCTCGATTCAGCCGATTGAAGGCTTTACTTGCATCCGCGAACAATACAGCCTCCGTGTCACTTGAGGATAGGTTGAGATTTAACTCACAACTTCATGGTCAGCAGACAGCATTTATAACCACAAGGCCAAAAAGGAAAGGATAAATCGTGGGTTTTGATAAAACATCGATGCTTGCTTCTTGGGCAAATTGTAAACCATGGGAAAAGGCCGGAAACCTGGCCGAAATTGTAACTCCTTAACGGCTGGTCCAATTGTTCCGAAACCTTCACAGAACAATTTGCCGTATCCTAACAAGCCATTCTATGTACGTTGTTGTCCAAATTTCCCTTATCTGCATACTTTTTAAGACCCAAACCTGATTGTGGAAGAGAAAAAGACATATGGATACGAGTTAAGAGTAACTCTCCATCACTGTAACATGATACTATATACAGTCAGAAAGTGCAATAACTAGGCACAAAACTGACAGAGTACTGAAACATTCGACGTCCTGAAACCTACCGTAAAGTTGCGGATAAAAGCCGGGCTTATAAGCACATAAGCCGCTTTCTGCATCAGGCTTCAATGCAAACCAGGCTTGTATGAAAACCATGCTTATATGCACCACTGATATTTTTGCCAGGCTTGTTATTATGTATGCACATCGGCCGACCCGGGCTTGCATAGAAGCCAAGCTTCTACGCGCGACACGCGTAGATCTACCACTGACTACCGGTTTTGCGGCAGTTTTACTATGCACTGTACATAGCGCATGCACTCTTGACCTACCCGATCCGCGCTTGCATAGAAGCCAGGCTTCTATGCGCGACAGGCTTATATGCATTGACCCGTTTGATTTTCAGGCTTCTATCCGCGATGTGCTTGTATGCAAACCCGGCTTTTATCCGCGACTTTACGGTAGCTTCAACACATCTCCGTAGCGCTAACCGACAGCCTTTCAACTTGGAAGGTTCAAGGTTATGGAAAAGACCAAAGAGGGGAAGTATCCATATGTTTTTTTCTCTTCCACATTTATTTATGGCTCAACATCCGAGTTTCAAACCTGATTGTAAATCTTTTTGAAACCGATTGTAAACAGCTCTAAGACCACACCGGCGGGCGAAGCTCGCCGGTGTGGTCTTAGAGCTGTTCGTTCTTCATCAAAAGACCACACTAGAACATCAGCATCGTTGGTCAGTGTCGTGCAATGTTATCGCATGAGCTGATTTTAACACAAGCATCTGCATGCCGCACTCACACAACGAGCAACCAGTTTGGGGAATAGGAGGGTTTGTCAATTGCTTTGCCAGGCTCCGAGTGAGTGACAGCTTAGAGCTGTGTGAATGTGTGTATGGCAGCTGGGCAGGGCCCTGCTGCGGAGGCTGAGTGAGCCATGGAGGCAGCCGGGCAGGGCCCGGCTGCGGAGGCTGAGTGAGCCGAGGCTGAGTGAGCCGTCTGAGTGTGAGAGGCTGAATGAGCCGTATGAGGAGCCTGGTAAGCAAGGTTGACTCCCCAAATAGAGAACCTCCTATTCACTGTTAACTGTAGAGGGGGTGCCACAGATTGTGGACAATAGTAGAGTGATATTGAGTTACTGAGTGTACAGTCGGTACATAGGTGACATTCGGTTATGCTCTGGCCGCAATAACCACAATAAGTGGGCTCAGTCTGTCTGATCAGCGCTTACCCAGGACCGGTGCTGCCAGCTTTCATGGCAGTTTGCATGTGGACTTCCGTCACTCGGCAGTGCAAGGCACGGCCGAAGTCTCCCCAGGAATGGACGGAAGGGCACGCACGGGAGTGGGCATGTGAGCGGCGGTAGGGTGGCACGAATGGAATCGCTTGAAATCTTGCCTGGAGAAAGCGTCAGCAAGGATGTTGGTAGTTCCAGGTATGTGACGGGCGGTGACCATAACGTTACCCTTGGCGCAGATGAAGAAGAGCTGCCGTAGGAGTGACATCACATTAGGGCAGCGACTGGTGCCAGACTTGAGAACAGCGGCGACAGCTTCGTTGTCGGTATGGAAGCGGATACGCTTGCGACACCACTGGTGGCCCCACGTAGCACATGCAATGCAGATGGGATACAGCTCCTTGAACGTAATGCAGAGCGGAGTGTGTTGTGGTGACCAGGTGTCGGCGAACCAATGCGTGCCGTAAACTGCGCCATGCCCGATGGCGCCAGATGCGTCAGTTTCTATCAGGATGTCGCTGGCCAGCGTCTCCTGGAGATCGAGGAAGAATGACTTGCCATTCCAGCCATCGAGTAGGTGAGACCACCAAAGAAGGTCCAGATGACATTCTGGAGAGAGACGGATGCGGTGGTAGGGCTTGGAAACGTTGCGCGTGGCATCATACAGTCGGCGCATGAATGTACGGCCCGGCGTGATGACGCGGCTGGCAAAGTTCAGCTTGCCCAACAGCTGTTCAAGCTCCCGTAGACGGCAGGATTGGCGTTGGCGAAAGGCCAATAGTCTGGAGCGGATGTCGTCAACCTTGTCCTGTGGGAGACGAGCCACTTTCTGGACGGAGTCCAGTTCGATGCCCAGGAAGGTGAGACAGAAGGTTGGGCCGACTGTCTTTTCGTCGGCAATGGGAACTCCCAGGTAGCAGAATACGGAGAGGACTACGTTCAGACGCTGCGCACATAGCGTTTAGTTTGCAGGGCCACAGAGCCAGAAGTCGTCCAGAAGGTGCAGGAGGTGGGGAACCTGGAACAGTTCACAGCTCATCTGGCAGCGCGTCCGCAATGCAGTTAAACAAGTAGGGTGCGGACCTCAGCCCGAATGGCAGTACTTTGTCATAGTAGAATTGGCCCTGCCACTGGAAACCCAACAAATGGTATGCAGTGGGTGCGACCGGGACCAGTCGAAATGCATTGCGTATGTCGAGCTTCGCCATCAAGGCACCGGTACCTTGACGTTGCAGAAGCTCAATGGCATCGTCCACTGTGACATAATGTAGGGAGAACGAATCCTTGTTTATTCCATCATTGACAGACATACGGTCAGGGTAAGACAGGTGGTGAATGAGGCGGAATTTCCCGTTGTTCTTGGGCACTACGCCGAGCGGAGAGCATACAAATGGGTGGAAAGGCTGGACAGAGAAAGGACCGGCCGATTCGTCACGTCGGACCCGGTCAGCAATTTGTTGTTGTACAAACTGAGCATGTTCAATGGCAGTTGGGAGGTTGCCAGAGATGATAGATACAGAAGCACCAGAGTGGCCAATGGGGAACCCGTGTTGCAAGCCATTAAGGATAAAGTCAGAGAGGACACGATTAGAAATACGAGGCAAAAGAGTCATTAGGCGGGCTATGTACAGAGGCGTGGGGAGACTACTTCGCTGCGACGGGCTTGTCCGTCTGGCGGGGTCCCCGGCGACCGTCGTTGGTGCAGCGAGCGGCGGGATGACCTCGGTCGCCGCAGGTTGAGCAGACGTGCAAGCGTTCACAGGGCTGGTGTTGGCATGGGCGGCCACGGTTGAAGTTGAGGCAGATCTGGCGGATGCTGCCCGCCCCGGCCAGAAATGGCTGCGTAGGACGGCTGGTGTTGGTGCCAGCTGGAGCATGTGGCCCTGCCAAATACTGTGGGCAACGGTCACGGCTGTGGTGCGTTGTGCAGCGCGGACATGATGGTTGTGGTGCCCGTATCAGGTGCAGGCTCCAGAGGCTTTGGTCGATTGCGTCCCAACGAGCCGAGGTCGTTGCCACCGCTGCACGGAAGGCACGGTCATACCCCAGTACAGCTGGGGTCGCAAACTGCTGGTTGGCAGTACAGATAATGTGCTGGTACGTCACCAGCTCCAGTGCTCGGAATGGCACATGTTTCAGTGCGCAGGCCATGTAGATTGTGTAGGCTTCCAGCCAGGCAGTGAAGTCGACAATGGAGCGCTTCTTAGTCACACATAAATTGAGGGACACACGCCGGCCCTCTCCGTTAGCGGTACTGAGCTCCAAGGGCTCGGACCCTGCGCCCACATTCTCTGGGAGGAGATCCTCCAGCTCAATATATTCGCCGCGTGTGATTTTGTCAAGCAACTTACGCGGGACCGTGGGAACAATAGAGCTGGACTCACGAGTGTTCGCCATGGGCGCTGCGATCGGAGGCAGCGCGGGTTGCATGAGGGAAATGTCCATGGGGCCGGAGTCGACCTGCGGCGGGTGATGGGTGACGGTGTTGGACGCGGTTTGGACCACATCTGCCACTGAGGGGACCGCCGCCTGAGCATGGCCGTCCGGATCCTGGCGAGCTGAAATTCGCTCCTCAGGGCGCTCGACTCGAGCCAGCAGGGGGTGCAGGGCCGTCGACACGGCCGCCGTAAAGGAACGTGGATTTAGGCCAGTTGTGAGTAAGCTGGCCGGCTGGGGAACGGCGGACGGGATATCGTCCTGCTCCGCACGGGCATTGCCGGAACGATCCGCACGGGCATTGCCGGAACGATCGGCCGCATGGTCCGCAGGGGCTCGATTTGGAGTGTCGGCATACGGGGACGACGAGGCGCGCCTGCGACTGGAACGCCTGGGCCCGGGAGCCGACTGCTTACGTGCACGGGGCATCTCCGTGAGCTGTGGTAAACCTTGAGATTGAGGTTGAGAAAGAAATCCACTGCCAATGCGGACAAAGCAAGAACTGAAGTCAGGAACAGTGGACTTCGGAGAACAATGAGCGCGTGAGAGTTTGTTGGGAACAGAGCATGCGCCTTCTGTGTTAACATATTTTTGCGCGTGCGCAAAAATCATGTAAAGTAACTGGTGGTGTTAGTGGACATTATAGCGTAACTTGTAGTTCCTTGGTCCTAATTTCTTCGTAAAAAAATATATGATTCATGAACGTTTTTTTCTTTCGATGGTCATCAGTGAACCTACATCGAGTGGTGATTTACATGTGAACAAACATTAAATAATGTACTATAATTATATGTGCTCAAGCAAAGCTACAAAATCATGATTGGAGGTTACAAAAACTACAGTAACAGGAAGGGTCCAAGACACTGCTCTTCACACCATGGCGGCAGTTTAATCACTTCTTCACCCCTTGCACCCTTGCTGTTGCCGTAGTTTTTGTAACCTCCAGTTATGACTCTGTAGCTTTGTTTGAGCATATAATTATAATATTGTTTATTCACATGTAAATCACCAACGACTGCTGGCCACATGTTGAAATAGGGCTTTCAACTGCGGGATCACAACGTGAATCAACTTGGTAGAATGTGTATGTATGCGAAGTGTATCGAGGAAATGAATGCACCGCAGGGCGATAGTCCGGGTTCAAACCCAAGTTAAAAAAGATAGAAAAATGAAATAGGGCCTTTGGTAGGGCCTTTCACGTGATGCGCCATGGTTGGCGCGGTATCCCGTACATGTCCCGTACCGTAACATGAGTATGTATTGCGTACCGTAGCATAGGTCTAGACAGAGCATCTGGAGCACCGGACGAGCAATTGTTATTATTCCCGTAGCTATGCACAAGACATTACTTTAGTAAGGTATGGCGCTAGCCAGAGTCCACACAGCTTTAATTCGGTGTTTGTGCCTGACGACGGCATGCCTGGCGCTATCCCGTACCGTACCATCAAAGACAGCTGCCCACCTCATTCACATAGGGCTTTCAACTGCAAGATCATAACGTGAAGCAACTTGGAAGAATGTGTATGTATGCAAAGTGTATCGGGGGAATGCATGCAGGGCGATAGTGCGGGTTTGAATCTCATGTTAGGTCTTGAAAAAATTGGAGAAATGATAAAAATATAACATCGCTATGCATTTTTGCTTAGGTCGTCTAGGTTACGGTCCCGCATTATCGCGTTATCGTTCGAATGTTTTGGGTGTGTTGCTATTGGGCCGGGAATGTAAGGATCGCGTAGATTGCAGTGTTTTAATGAGCGCGGTTGTTGTATAAATAGAATGCTGAGATCATTAACAGAGGACTATGAGGAAGAGCTAAATGACAGGGGTGCCAGAGTTGAAGCTCTTGACATTGTGGAAACAATGTCCAAACATGGAACATTTGCTTGTAGCTAAAAACATGCACCTTTGCAATGTAAATACTGCTGTTGTTTTGAATGTTCTAGATTTCCTTGTCAAGTATGGCTGCAATGACTGGTCCAGCTGGTCAGAATGCACAGTGACCTGTGGCGGAGGAACACGAACAAAAACTAGACGATGCGTATTTGCGAATGGAACTTATGATGACCCCCAAGCCCAGGAGTGTAGTGCACAACAGTGCCCAGGTAATCAGTTCAGATTTCTAGTTTTCTACATTGTATGTGTGTGTGTTCCATGCTAAGGCCTTTTCGTAAGCCACATAAATAGCAGGTTGCAACTTCACAGAAAAAGTGATGACCGGTACCCACGTGCTGAATACACATTGACCGATCGACTTACTTGTTGAGACTATTTCACGATAGCCTATACATTTTTATTTTGAGTCAACATTGGTTCCTATCTGGATTTTCAGGAGTCCTTTTCTCACAAATTTGGTGGAAGTCACTCGGATGGATTTTTACTCATGGCCCAAGAATGAGTCCGCACCACGCCATTTTCGTCACATGGTGAGAGAAAATCGCATCGCAGCTCAAAGAAACTATATTCGGTCACGAAACGAAGCCAGTCCTACTTCCTGTAGGTGATGCTTCAATATCCTAAACGCTGTCCTCTGTGATTCGATCGAAGATGATATAATTCTTTGTAAGACAGATGAGACTTGGACGTATCTTATCACTTCTTGCTTTTGCTAGAATATTTCTTCTATTTCACAGCCAGTTTTTCCAGATAGCTCATATGGTAAAACTGCGAACAGTCGAGGTGTGACCCAAAGCATTGCTTACTATCTTTTTTAATGAACTGTACTGAGGTCAGCAAAGGGGCAAATCAATAGGGAAACACATCCAAAAATTCAAATCAATAGGGAAACACATCCAAAAATTCAAGTTCCACTCAGTGCAGAGCTTTTCTCAGGCTCAGGGTGATTTTAGTCCACATTGGTGGACCCATATTCTCTTTTTGGATTGATGTGGTGTTTCTACTTTCAGGCTGGAGCGCATTTAGTGCAGTTACGCCATGCATTGTATGTGGTGCTCAGCAAGGAAAGCAACTACATGCCAGAAAATGTCTGTTGACGGGAGTTGACGCAGACAATGAATGTGCAGAGTCCAGCTTTGATTGGAGAGATTGCAATGAACAAACAACACTGGGATGTACATTAATGCAAGGTGAGTGAACATGCAATGTCAACATTGCAAACAATATTGATACGAGCAAGAGTACATAATCAACAGTGCCGGTACAACTCGATGGTCCCCCGACCCAAGGGTGTCTTGCAGTCCATTTTTCGCGGCTTTTTGACTCACTAATGCCATCATGCATAGCCAGAGATCAAAATACCATTCACTTGTACATCGTATCTATGATAGACAAAGCAGAACAACTGGCGATAGATCCATGAGTCCTGAACCTGATGAGCTCGCACCGTATCTACAAAACTAGCGTGGGAAAGCATGCACACTTGATCATACTGCTGCCAAAGAATGATGCAGTGGAACCAATCGCAGCTCAAGATAGGAGTTGCGCACTCTTGGTTATGAACTCTTGATATCAGTTCGATTTGGTGATATAATTAGCATCAACTGTGCTTGGTCAGTATTGGGCTAGGAAGTTTTCGAATGAGTCACAAATCCCTAGCTACTTGTCCTTGTGTTCGCATACCGTAAAAGTCCGTAAATAAGTACGTATTTACTTTCGAATTTAGTGACCACACCCGTACTAACTTTCGGGCGGGTACTGACTTTCGGGCGGGTACTGACTTTCGGGCACGAACTAACTTTCGGACCTGACTTGTGTGTAGTGGAGAAGTCATTTTCATGTAGATGTACATGCTACACACTGCATGTGCGCACTGTACCGGTACTTATTTCGGGCAGTATGTTTATCGGGCTTGACTTGACTTCAACAGACAGAGCCAAAAGAATGAAGGGGGTATTTCTTTCGGGCAGGTACGTATTTACGGACTTTTACGGTATCTGGATAGGATTGAATGTGTTCTGAGGTCAAAAATTGCCTGTGTAGTCTGCTGCTAGAACTTTAGTCACAGAGGCGCAAGGAAGAGTCTTGTGTCATACAGCCAACTATCGGAGGCGCATCTATACCAGAGTGTCCACCAGCTAAACCAGAGTGTCCACCAGCCCTCCCTGAAAATTTGTATAATCTTACAGACTAATTAAATTGAATGAACTCGGATGTTGAGCCAATGTTAACTATCATGAATAAATGGAAGGAGGAAAATGTTACGAGTGTTTGACTAACTGTTCACCGTGTGTGTGACCAGATCATAACACAGTTAGCTGGTGCGACAACATGCAAACAAAACTGACTTTAAGTAAAAGCACATGGTGCCTGGAACGGAAATTGGTACCATCAATATCATAGTAATCGTAGCGTTGCCGACGTCCTTGTTGGGTGTTTCAACCTTTTCTGTGCTCTACCGTGCAAAGTATGGTATTTATAGAAGAAAAAATGACAGTGACTTCTTCCCACCTTCATCTTTGTTGTTCATTATCTTACTGAACACACAAACTTAATGCACAAATAGGGATGTGAAAGGAGATGTAGGAATTTGCCAGTCATAGTAGCCCTATCATGTACTGCATGCTCTATGCCAAGAGGTGTATGGGTTTCTCGGATTCTTCTGAACACCATGGATGGGTACTATTACTAGCGACTTCAATCACGTGACCAAAAGGCAGAAATCCTTCGTCGCACGAATGTATGGTGCAAGCATGGCGTGCACGGAACAATTTTTCTCTCGACGTTCTACGCCTGCCTACGCGTTATTCATGTGCCCAGCACCTTCGATTTTTACATGATGGGCAAGCACACACGAATAGCTTTCCAACGGTGTGTCCCATGTCAAGAGTCATCGATTCTTGGATATATCGCTCCGTAATTTTAGTTTTCAAAGCAAACTTTCGGCATCTCAGCTACCTTGCCCATCAATGACCGAGTCACCATCGTGTTCAGAGCCCTCGAATTAGTTTAGATGGGTTCATGGTAAGGTTCTCCTCCGTAGCCGTTTTTAGCAGTTTGAAGAATTTGTGCGCAGCGGCTGAAGTCGGCTATGGAGTGCACTATTTGACGGGCTCTGCGTGACGGAGCGAGCAGACCTTTGGCTTGTAAATCCGCTAGTAATACTACTAATGATTATGTTCTTCACGTCAAGATTCTGGAGGTGCTTGAGCAGTGAGGAGGTGATTATTTCAATCCATCGAAGCAGAGCACGTCCCGTCCAACATCTACATGTACGACGGTTTCTCCGTCACCCTCCAAGAACACCCAAAACCCGCATATCGCGCATACATTCACCGTGTATGCATGATATTCATGAGGTCCGGGAAACCCACTTTTGTGCCATTGCTCTCCATACAATTGCATACATGGCCTCCGACGATTGCATACCAACTTTGGGGCCTGATATCTCCGGTCTGGGACAAGATATACCCATGAAATTTTCTGTATGTGTTCTCTTTCCAGTCGTGTAATTTGTTGGCCCTAATTCCGATTTTAGAATTTTGGCCTGAAGTCGCTACTATTACCCTCACCACGTGTATAGTCAAATATGTCAACTTGATTGTGAGGAGAATAAAATGAAACAGATCGGATGCCAGATGTGCATGTTTATCTTCAAATGAATGTTTGCTGCATATTAGTTACCCGCGTGAGTAACGACCACAGCTCATCATTATGAGCATGCCTCTGCTTCTGTACAGGGGTGACATTGGCAGAAGTACCAGAAAAAACTTGTACAGATATAGACGGTGATCTCACATATTCACTGACCCACCGGAGATGCATGGATGAGCTGAACAAATCAGTATCGTTAGATGTGTGCCGGCGAGAAATTGTCCAGTTGTGCTCACCCATACATGGTAAGATGTGAAAGAAATAGTTTCATCTTGTTTGATCTCCATGTCTGGGTTGACCCCTCAGCGGTCATAACAGTATACACATGCAGTCTGAGATCAATTCACCAATGTACAGTACGGATCGGCTATAGCGTTGGTGTTTGATTTTCGAGAAAATATCCCTATGTATGTATGTATGTATAACTCATAATCACAAGGTGATCGTAGAGGCATTAATCAGCGAGAGAATTGTGAATGATGTCTCTGAATCCAACTCTATCGTGTGCTGCATGAGAGAGAGCATGCAAGGGAAAACCCGTCCAACTTTTAATGTTAGAAATCCATGATGTCGCGGGCCTTCCTCTCGGTCGAGATCCAGGAGTTGATCCTTGCAGGAAGGGCTTGGAGAAAACGTCATGTCTCGTAACATGGCCAAACCACATCAACTTAAATTTCTTGACTTCGTTCGCTAGCCACATCCTTGCTCCGATGATGTCATTGATTTCTTCCAGGATAGATTGGTTGGTACGCCGGTCGTGGTATGTTACTCCTAAGAGTCGGCGGAAGCATTTCATCTCGAAGGATGAAATTCTTCTCATTGATGAGGCAGATAATGTCCAAGATTGGCATCCGTATAAAACAGTCGCTAGCACAATAGACCTAACAAAACGAAATTTAGTAGGCAAAGAAAGTGATGGCGATTTCCAAATGAATTGAAGCTCAATGATCTTTTGCTTCCCTAGTGCTAAGCGTCTTCTTATCTCCACATCGGACTTGCCATTGGACGTGATTACGGCACCTAAGTATTTAAACTGGGATACCTCTTCTATTCGCTCATTGCCTACGTGAATGCACCCCAGATCACCACCGCCCTCCGGCGCTGCCATTGACTTGGTCTTGGAAGCATTGATCTGCATGCCTAGTCTTGTTGCACTCGTATCCACGCGCTCGGTCAGGTCCATCAGCTCTTCCACAGACGATGCGATTATATCTATATCATCCGCAAAACGTAGGTTGGTCACGCACATGCCGCGGATACATACTGACCCATCAAACTCCTCCAAAGCGTCAGACATGATGTACTCCAGGAATACGTTGAACAGACGAGGCGAGAGTAAACAGCCCTGCCTGACACCCACTGGCGTGGTGAACCAGTCGGTGATAGTGGATCCAACAACGATGGCAGCTTCAGTAGTAGCGTAAAGCGCTTCAATCAGGTCCACAATTCTTGCTCCGATGCCATGCGCTCTCATAATCTTGAATAGCGCTTTGTGCCAAACCCTATCAAAGGCCTTACGGAAATCGATGAAGCAATGATACACAGCCTGCTGATGGTCACGGTACTTTTCAATTAACATTCTGAGGTTGAAGATTTGCTCCACTGTGCTTCTTCCCTTCCGGAACCCTGCTTGCTCGTCCGCCAGCAAATCCTCCACTTGCGGCTGCAGGCGCTTCAGCAAGATCCTCAGTAGCACTTTGCTCGGATGACTGATGAGGCTCACTGTCCTGTAGTTTTGGCACTGCCGAAGGTCTCCAGACTTAGGGATGGGAACAAGAATGGACCTTGTCCATGATGTTGGCCATCTACCATTCGTCCATGCGAGGTCACAAATCCTGTGCATAACAGCCACCAACGTATCTCCACCATGTCGCAAAAGCTCGCCAGGAATGTTATCGAACCCCGCTGATTTGTTGTTCTTGAGGGAGTTGATAGCGTATTCGACTTCGGTCCTCAGAATGGGATTGTTGTTGGCATTATCTGACATGGCTGGAGTAACGATTGCGTCAAGGACTTTATCATCTATGTTCAGGTCCACGTTGTACAAAGATGCACCGTACTCACACCACCGCTGAGCTACTCCTTCCTTATCACTATAGGCGATATATTACTATAGGCGATATGCATACTTAGGTATGCCTGGCAAATGCGTGTATGGTGTCATTCGAATCAGTGCAGCGTGCAGAAGCGTGCTGTCCATGTGACTGTGCAATACGCGCAGTGCAGAGCTACTTCCTGCGGAAACAAAAACTTCGTAACTTTTTGACATGAGTTTTCAAGGAGTTGCTGTGCTCAACAAATGACTTATGTGTTCTTTTGGAAGAGAAACACTTCAACACATTCAATCGACATAATATGGGCGGGCCTCAACCAGCGAAAACAGCCCTTAGGGTCAAATTTTTCAAAACTCCTTTTTGGTTAGAAATTTGTTGAAACACATCTACTGAAGGACCTCAGCCAAGAAAATGTTCAATATTCCGATTCAAAACGGGTGTATACACCAATATTAGGGGTGAAAGTTGGCACTGAGATCCCG